TAAATAAGGTCAGCTGCTTTCCTGTGCCACTTACACACAAACCCATGCTATGAACTCTGCAGTTACTGCGAGGAAACCTGCACCAAGGAACTGGTTCCACACAGCACATTTACAGGAATGAAGATTCTTTTCTTTGGCTTAAGCGGTGCCACAGGGGATGAAACATTTACCTGCTGATACATCTTGTTTCTTAGTTGTCATAGGCTGGTGTTTTATAGCTGCCTACGACGCTGCAGCGTTTCTGCCACGCTCTGTGCACAAGACACCAGTGACAGCAGTGAAACGGACCCCAGACCAGCCCAGCCCAGCCCAGCCCAGACCACTGCTCAGCTGCCACTCGCTGCCTGTCAGAGCCCCGTGTGAAGTGACAGGGCTGAGATGCAGAGGTTGGGATTGGGAGGAAGAGAAGGGATGGCCTTGCAAGTAAAATTCAGTTTGGCTGTGGAAGGAAATGGCTTGCAGCACACACGTCAGGCTGTGAGACACTCTGTATGGAAGCACATCCATGGATTTGACACTTGGGTGAGTCCAAGGCACTGACAGGTGCTCTGTGGGTCCTGAAGAAGCACAGCTTGCAATGCCCAGAGTTTGGAAATGGCAGCTGTTGGCAGGAAGCTCCAGAAGGAGCAGCTTTCTCCATGGCCTGAGCTTTGCAGTACAATAGATTTAACTTTCAAAATGAGCAGTTGTCTGTATTGTCCAGACTCCCAACCCTCAGTTTAAACAGAGCCGCTGTTTTATTGAGGCACTTTCATGCTCGTGTGGGACTGCCCACCTTCCCATTTCAACTCAGCCATAAAAATTGGCCTGGAGATTAAACCTGCTGCCTGAGTTGTTCACTGGAGAGCAAGTGGGAGGGTGTGCGAGGGGAGAGGTGGAAGGAAAGAGGCAGCAGTGGAAATATGAAGACAGAGGATTTGGCCAGGTTTGATTTACAAGCAGGAGCCAGGGTTGCTTTGGGAACATCTCAGACATGTTTAAAATGCCCTGTTGGGCTCTAGTTCAAACCTGAGTTTGCAACCCCGTCTTCTGCAGGATTTCATTTGCCTTGTTAAAAGGAGGAACAAAGAGAAATGGTTGGATTCAGGGAATCAAGTGTGCTGCATGTTCAGCAGTACCCCAAGCAGTAGAAAGGATTAGGTGCTGTTTTGTGGGTTTTTTTCCAAATTGTCTCCACAGACCTTAATAAGCACTCAAAAGGAGTTTATTCTGAGCTCCTGGGTGTAACACAGAGCCAAGAAACCAGTCAACATATAGCACATCCCCTTAGGAGCAAAGAGCACTTTGTGCATCATATATGAGAAACTGCATAAACCCTTTGCAAACACCTATCAGATCCAATTCCCTGTTCCTCTAGGGAAATAGATAGGATTATATGCAAGTTCACAAATGAATTAAGCAGGATTCCACAGTCTAGCTCCAGCTCTGCTGGAATTCAGCCATTACTTTTGCTGACTTTAACAGAAGCTAAATACAGACCAAGCAAGCTACAGCTAATGTTGTTCAGCTTTAGTTGCCATTTGGGGAGCAGCAGTGGTACCCTACAACTGCAGTTAACAGTGACACAGAGACTCTGTGTCTTGCTACCCAACCTCAGACAGCCAAGTGAGCTCAGAGATCTCCCAGAACCCTCCCCTGTGTTCGAGTCAAAGAAATTTCTGCTATGCAAAAATGAGATGGGAAAAAAGTCTGTGGCAGCATCAGACAGGATGCCCTGAAGCCCAAACAAGCTCATCCGTGTAGTTATCTCAGCAGGTGGATCCCGGGTTAACATTCCCAGCAACAAATCCAAAGTGACTTCCCTGCCGTGACTGAGTGAGATTACAGCTGCAGAACCGGGCCCCAGGAGCAACAGCACCTACAGCCTGGAGTCCAGGCAAAAAGATGATGCTCACCCCTGACTCTCCCCCCATAAAGCAGCAGAGAGTCAAGGCCAGCAGCAGTTTAAGAACCAGACGACTGCCAGTATGTCTTTCCCCCCCTGCAAACACAGTGGCCTCTCCCCCTTCTCCACTATTTATGTTACATGAACTGCCTTCTATTCAGGAGGAGCTGTTCTCTATTAACAGAGCTTGGCAAAGATCAGGAATTAACTGTGCCAACTTTCAGGCCTGCTGCCTTAAGGCAGATGGCAGGGAAAGTATCCCAGCCTTGTTGCCCAAACCTCTTCTCCCAGCAAGCAGAGATAACTCAAAAACAGGAAAAAAGGGTCAGACATCTGCGAAGCCCTAATTTCAGTGCAGGAGACAGCCTGTGTGTGGGGTGCCCTGCTCTGCCTTGGCTGTGCTTGTCACCCCACGGGCAAGCAAAGCCTGTGGCACCGTCAGGATCCACAGGCTCAGAGCAAGGGCACAGGTTTCACTGGAATTCTTATACTTCCGGAGTTACAACAAGAAAGAGGAGATGCTCTGCCTCCCTCCAAGATGCTGCTATCATGAAAGGAAATCAGCACTGCTAATGACTGGTGCTGAACTGTACCTTTATGGGAAAGTAAATCCCTCTGGAGCAGCTGGAAGGACAGGATTCCCAGTTACTGCAGACCTGCAACAAAAAGCAAGAGCTGTGGTTGCAGAGCATCCTCTGCTTCCCACCAGCAGGACGCAGCTGCTCTGCCATCCCCACCACTGCAGGTCCCCCAGGAGCAGTTCCAGTGCCTGGGGAACATTCACCCCATGAAGGTGGATCACACTCAGGCACTGGCAGGAACAGGCACAGTTGGACTCCTGAGCTGTGAAGAGCTGAGTGTCCAGTTCTGGTGGAATCTATATCACAGGCAGTTGCCTTGTTCTTGCAGAATAAGACACCATCCCCAGCTCTGAGCAACCAAAATCAAGCCTTTGAAGCTTGCTTTGCCAACCTTCTTGTGTCTGTATTTCCTCCCGTTAGTGGTGTGGCACTCCAGTTATTAATATTTTCTGGTTTTCAGTACCATGAAAGCATGACTCAATAGCAGTGCTGAGACCTCAGAAAGCTTCCCCCAGGTGCTGCAGAGGATGGTTAACGACAGTATGACAGGCAAGAGGGTCATAAATAACATTCTGCTGGGTGCTAATTCAGACAGTTGTTGTAGCTCACTGCCATCAGTGGGACAATTTACAAACTCACACATAGTTAAGCGTTGCTGAAACATATCCTGGGCTGGGGTCAATGGAAAGTGTCTTGCTGACTTCACCTAGAGCTGGATTAAGCACTTAACTCTTACATTGTCTCCTCCATATTCCTGAATTATTCATTAAGGGCCAGACACTGCAATCCATACTCACACTGCACTTAATCTGTCCTTTAAATTGACTTGCATTAGTCTGAGTCACAGGCACCACAGCACCTTCCTCCTTAACAGTCTCACTGAATGCAGCAGAGCTGTTCATGAAATAAGGTGCTGCTCTGCAAGGAGGCAGATCCAGCTCTCAGCAAAGGCATCAGTAAGGAGAGAACTGAGAGAAAATTCACCCTGGTAAAGCTGCATCAAGATGTCTGAACTCAAGTAAATCTGTGTGAAATCAATCATTTAAAGAGATAACCTGTTCTGTGGTATTGCAGGGGAGAGACTAAGGGAGTTCTAGAAACTAATATTTCATTGTTCAACTTCATCACAAGGTCTGGAAACACATTCCACTGCCCCTGGCCACACATTCACAGAGCCTCGTGAGGGCTGCTTTGTCCCTCCAGAGAGAAACAGCAAGGTGTGTGGAAAGGAAGAAGGCAAAGGATTTGTTCTGCTCCTCCTGACGGGCACAAAAGGAATAAAAAGTGAACAGGACTGCTGCCACCGAGGAGGTAACAAGTACCCACATTTACCAGCAACTCCCTCCTCTGCCAAGCTCACAGCTCCCACTAACCAAGCTCCCAGACCACACTACTGGCTCTGATCCTGAAATCCCCTCAGGCTGCTCAAACAGCAGATAAACTCTCATCACAGCAGAGCCGATTAGCTGTGCCTTTCACCACTGAGCCCAAACCTATAGTCTGATACCTCTGTACAAACAATGGATCAGGAAATAAATAAGCCAATCAGGTAAGCAAAGGGAGAAATCTTGTGCACTACATTGAGAAATATATAAGGGGGGTTGATTTTTTAAAAAGGAATTTATCTGTTCAGTTTTCATTTATGTCAGTTCTTGATAAGATTAGAGGATTAAACCAACTGAATGCTAAATGCTCTGTGCTGGAGAGAGTCCTGCTGGGATTTACTGCATGTTGGCATGTACAGAGACCACACAGCATCACCCAGAGACCCTGGGACTCGCAGAAGGACCCGTTCAAACTTCTGAAATAAAAATCACAGCTTATCCAGACTTTCCATATGCCGCCGGGGTACGAACTCCTATCCCTCTCCAGTTTCACTCAAGCTTGCTTATTAAGTACTTGTACCCAACAGGCAAGTCTTTGTATAAGCAGCACTTATCTCGGAGCACTGGCATCACAAGAGGATTTCAGACGTGCTGTGGCTTTTTGGATGCAAAATGTTAACACCGTGTGCATCCCTCCCCCAGTGCCAAACCGAAGCACACACATCCTGTCACACTCCTGCTGTTACAGGCACACACACCCCACAGCTACCCCCATAAACTCCTGCACAACACAGCTTGTTAAAAACACAATTGACAGTTTTTTAAAGAAGTCAAAGTTCTCCTGTAACTTAACGACTTCTTCTATTGGCCTGACAAACACATTTGTGGTGTTTAGTTCGTTAATTCTGAAAAAGCACAAGATCTTGGGAGGTGCAGCCAAGGACAGGCAGGGGATTGGGAGAATTTTTAGCACCTAGCAAACACATTCTCCCCAAACACCTGAAAAATAACAGCAATTTCACCGGTGTGAACTCCCTCATTCCTGTGCCCCAAATTATAGTCGGATATTGTCACCTTGGCTCCCTACCAGTGCCCTGCTCTGTGGTAAGGAGACCACGCACCACAAGGGTGTTTGTCAATATAGCTAAAAACACCAGACTATAGCCAGTGAGAGAAATCTAGTTAGAGTATCAGTGACTTCAGCTGGTGTTTGGGGTTGTGGTTTGGGTTTTTTCCTGCCCCTGAGGAGGAATTTGCCCTGAACGTTGCAGAAACTGAATCACGATCTTCGCCACCGTGGGCGACTGGAACGATGCTGACGCTACTTCCCGAATGCCAGTCTGGCTCTCACATATTACACTGTTACACATTGCTCTGGGCCATTTGCCCCCTTCCCCTTGTGCCTCGAGGTGAAACGGTCACAAATGCTGATGGGTAGTTTCCCCTTGAATCGTTTTCCTATCAGACAAGCATTCTCCTTCCATACAGGAGTATCTTCCCCGTGGGAATACAGCAGGTGCTCATAGGGGCAGCAGGAAGAAAGGAGGAATGGATCTTTTATCATATTAAGCATTTCCATTCCATCTTTATTGTCTTTTCTGTAGCTCAGGTCTGTTTTATTCCAGGCTTAGGGAATCACACTGTAAGGCTCCAAGGGGTAAAGAGGCTGTCTTGATGAGTCTAACCTCTGAAGATGCATCCAGGATGATAAAAGAAGTGTAGCTATTGAAACATCTCCCTTCAATACAGTTATTGTGTTGCTAGGTTTCCATCTAGACACACAGCCTAAAAGAGCAATCAAAGGAAGCTGATGCTGTGGATAATATCTTTATCAACACTTCACAAGGTTGTTGGGGAGGAAGAGGGGAAAAATACTGTCCCCGAGCAAAGTTGTTCTGATGAGAATAGACAGCTAGTTTCAAAAGCTCGCCCAAATTTTCATGGGAAAATTGTTTTTTAAAAAAACTGAGCTCTTAGGGTAGTAGATTTTATGTGTATCAGCATGTGGCTTTGTGAGCAAGAAGTCTGTGTGTTTATTCCGTCATTTGAATTGTAAAAGTACTTCTCTTTCAACACACAAGTCCTCACCCCACTTAACTAAAGCCTGTCTTGCAGCAGCAGACGAGGGCGCGCATCAGCCTTGTTTTTAGAGGAACTTATTTGTTGCATATTACATTAAATCCCAACAGACTCTGCACTGCTGTCAAAATACTATCCTAATAATTGCATGAGGGAAGGTTGCTAACCAGCACATTGCTATGCCTGTGCACAAAACAAAGGTTCAAGTGACACAGGATGCAGCAGCGAGGCAGATCCCCGAGGGACCGGCCACCTTCAGCTCACTCCGCCTGTCCCAAAGTTTTTCAGTTATATTCAGCTTCTGCCCTCTCAAGTGCTTTTAAACACCCGGGCAGTAGCAAACAGCCCCACGCTCTTTTGGTTTGGTCATCTCATCACCAAATCGGAAAGAACAGAAAAGAGTTCATTTTCTCCAGGAGTCCGGGTGTTTTGCTGCCATGTCCTTGGAGACCACCTGGAACAGCGAGGGCCCAGGGCCAGGCTGCACTCGGGACTGTTGCTAAGCAATGTAATGTCCTTATTAAGTGGCATGAGGTTTTTAGGCAGGAAAAGTCCGTTTCTACACAAGCCAGTATAAAACAGAAAGGTTACCTTACGTGTGCCAGGTATGCTCTTTACAGCTTTTGGACCAGCACCGGACACCAGCTGCTGTCATAGACGAGGATCCCTCCTGGCTGGACCTGCTGCCATCCCTGAGCGTGGCGAGCGCTCCGCTGGCTCTGCTCCTCCTCAGGGAGGCCGGCCAAGCCTCCGTGGAGCCGGGGACACAAAGCTGCTCAGTTCTGGCGCCCAACTTTTCCCCCAGGAGAACAGCCCTGCTGCAGGCGCAGCTCAATCAGCTCATTATAGAGGCAGCCTCCCGAGAAACGCTCTCCCTGTGCATATTCATGAACTCTCCAGAGCTTCCAGGGAGAGTTGGCTAAACACACAGCTGAGGGATTTAGCTGTTGGATTCCCAGGAAAAAAAAAAAAAAAGGGGGAAAAAAAAAAAAAAGGGGGGGGGGGAGGAAAGGAGGGCGAGGAAGGAGTAAAGGGCTTAAAAAAAAAAAAAGTGACTAGCGGAGCGACTGCAGCGGTGCTGCCCTAAGCACCGCGGGACCCAGGAGCCCGACCGACCCCCGCGTCACCCCCCGGGCAGAGCCGAGCGCTGAGGGCCGGTGGCGGGCACCGAGGAGAGGGTGTCACGGGAGACGGCTGTGCCCACAGACCCCCAAAACAACAACCCCCTTCCACCCCGTGGCCGCGGAGCGCATCACTCACCTCCGCCCGGCCGGGCGGCAGCAGCCGAGGGCTCGCAACGGTGCCGGGGCACAGCCGGGTCCCGCGGTACCGGGGCAGAGCGGCACCGGTGCCGAGTCCCGCTGTACCGATGCCGGGGCAGAGCGGTACTGGAGCCGGGGCAGAGCGGTACCGGAGCCTCTGCAGCGCCGGCGGCAGCGGCGAGCGGCGGTCGCGGTCCCGGTCCCGCAGCCCTCCCCCGGCCCCGCCGCCGCCTTTTAACGCCGCTCCGCCGAGCGCCGCGGCCGCTGCTGGCACGGCCCGTCCCGCCGGCCCCCGGGGGCGGCCGACAGCCCCCGCCGCGGTGCCGCGGGATGAGGAGCGGAGGGATGCGGAGCGGAGGGATGCGGAGCGGAGGGATGAGGAGCGGAGGGATGAGGAGCGGAGGGGCGCGGAGCTCCGGGGCTGCCGCCGCCCCGCCGGGCTGCGGGCGGCGCTGCGGCCGCGCTATAAACCCGCGCTATAAACCGTGCCCCGTGCGCGGCCCCCGCCCCGCCGGCCCCGGTGCGGCGGCGCCGGCCGGGCAGCCCCGGTGGGGAGAAAGGGCAGCCCCCGTGGGAAGGCAGCCCCCGTGGAAGGGCAGCTCCGCGGCGGGGCTCGGCCGCCGCCGGGCAGGGGGGGCACGGGCACGGCGCTTGGGAACGGCCCCCGGTGCCCGCCCGGCCCCCGCGCACTCCCCGGCGGAGGGGGCGGGTACCGGAGTGACCGCCGGGACCGGGGGCTGCGGGTGCTGCCCGTGGCCCTTCCGCCACACGGGCCCATCCCGGGACTGCCCTGCCCGCCCGCGCAGGGAGCGCTGGGTTTGCGGGCTGCCGTTTGGAGAGGGATGGGGGTGCCCCGTGTGACAAGCGTGGGAGCGCGGCTCTGCCACCACGCCGGGACCGGGCGCGTCTTGGGACAGAAACCGCCAGAAACTTTCGCAGCACCTGGCTGGTACTGCGGGTCCAGCCCCTGTTAGAGCCGGGGCTCTGGGAAGGACTCATCAGGTATTCGCTGGTACCCTCACCACTAGATAAGTGCTCTATACAGGAGACATCTCTATGCGTTCAGTTGCAGAGGTATGCGGCAACAACCCCTGAATTAAGTAGGAGTCGTTAAATGGGAGGTAGCAAGACGTGTTAATTAGGGTGGTACAGACAATCTTTTATACATTCATGCTTGCCCCTGGTGCAGCAAGGCATTCTGCACAGCTGGTCATCGAGCTTGCCTTGCCCTTGCCTGGGTTTTCAGGAGGGACGGCTCTGATAAAGACATCCCTGAGTACAGGGGCTTTACTTAGTGTTGACAGACGGTCTCTTAATTAGTGTGCTGGATACAGCGGTCTTGCATTCATTTATTGTGTGCTCTCCTGTGACTCACTCTGGCTTTGGAGGCAGGAAGAGAAAACATTCCCCCCATCCTTGGCCTATTTACCAGGGTGACCAGTTACCATGATGTGGACTTCTGCAAGAGCAGGATTGTTGCTAAACAACTACCTGGTGGGAATGGCTTTTAATCAGGCTGCATAACGGAGTTAATGTAGCCTAAGCTACGTTCTTTGCCCTATATTCTTGTTTATTTGACTGTTGATGGTTACTGCTTACGAAAAATATCCTTCATCCCAGTTTTCAGATAGATTTGTCAAGTCAATAAGAAAGAGAAAGCACAATAAAACAGGCCCATCACCTGAGAGTGTCTGTAGGCAGGCAACTGTGTCAAAGGCACAGCAGCTCTCTCTGATGCATCACTCAAAGAGAACAGGAAGCCAGGCAGACAAAGCCAGACCATCATCTTCCTTGTGGGGCTCCAAGGAATGCAAATTTAATGAGGCTCCTGAAGTAAAGCTGCATTCCACCGGCTTTCACCACGCCTGCCAGTGATGGAGGTCTCTGCAGAGAAGGTAATGGTGAGGGGTTAGCGATTCTGTTGAAAACTGCAGCGTACAGTAAAGGGAAAAATTGCTTTTTCTAACTTTGCTGGTGTTGGGAGCGAAGCCCACGCTGATGTGAGGGACAGTGCTCAATCAATCACTCAGCAGAGCCCAGCAAACTGCAGGAGTTATCACCAGCGCTGGTACAAGCACTCAGACAGTGACAGGATTCTCCTCAGCAGCGATTCTGACAGCCCTCCAGGTGCAGACAGGCAGACAGAAAGACAGATAGACACACACACACACACACACCCCGGGAGCCCCCCAGTCCCCTCATTGCACACACACAGCATGCAGGAGCAAACAGACACACAGTGCTGCTGCCACAACTGCTCCCAGACGAGCTGCTCCCATCCCTTCTCTGCACACACAAGTACATCAACCTGACAGCTTCGGCTTTTAAAACTTGTACATGGTTTTCCTTCACCTCCCTTCACACACACCCCACAGAGCTGCATTAGCCCGCAGCTGAACTAGAATTTTCTCTTGCTGTGTTGGCACCTACAATATATACATGAAGAACATGCCTTTCCCTGTCAACACAGAGATGCTCAGACTGCCACATTCAGCACTAAATATCCCTCCATGAACACACAGGGGTCTGCACAGCACTCAGAAAGCTCTGTAAAGGGATACTCACCTGGATGGGAAGGGGTAACTGCTCCATGGCAACTTCTGTGATTTCAGTCTCCTTTCATTCTGTGTTGGAAAGAAATAAAATATTTCAAATATTTGGGAATGGGAGAGGCAGGATGGTGCCCAGGGGAGATCTTCATACCTGGCTTAACATTTCCTTCCATGCCCCTCTGTGCTCAGAGAGCATCAGCCTCTGACTGCTATGACTTCCCTCCCTGAGGCCTCACAGAAGTGTGCAACCACACAGCATGTGCTGCCAAAAGGAAGACATAGTTCATTACTAGTTTAAATCAGCAACACTGAGCATGTTTTACTCAGATACAAGTTAGAACTGTCTGTATGAGCAGCACATAAACACAAACTGTATCCAGGTGTACCTGTATTACTTGCACAGACCTGTACACAGAGGTTTCAGTGTGTTGCTGCAGACTCCACTAGCAATGCAAATGCATCCACAAGGAATTAGCATTATTGGTGGCTTTTATCAGCAGTGCACGTGCCCAGGCAAACAGCACAGAGGCTGAGGGGTGCACACTGCTGTCCTCAGCCACACAGGTACAAACACACGTGTGACACCAACAGACATCAGCACTGTACTGCAGCCTGGGGAGCAGCTGCAAATCCACAAATGCCGGGCCACAGGCACTGAGGCACAGTCACAGGCAGGCTGGAAAAGGATTGCTGCTCTCCCTAAAGCCATTCCTGGCTAAAGGATGCCTTTTGGAGCTGGGAAGCTGAATGAAAACTCCTTCCCCTTTATTCATGTCCTCACAGCCTCAGCAGGACTGCTTTCCACACCAAACCCAGGCTCCGTCGGCCATTCCACTCGCTTGTATTTATGGCCCCTCTTTGAAATTCTGACTGCTCATCTATGCAGAATAAAACAACCCAAGCAATCCTTCCTGTCCAGGTGCTCATTACTAAAGTGTTAAATTATGCCAGGAAGGCTCTCTTAGGCCTTGTAAATTTTATCTGGGAGACTTTCAGCTTCCACAAGGTCTATTATTGCCTGATTGCCCGAAAGGCTTTTGAGTTTGTCCCAGTCAGCCACAGTGAGGGCTGGGCAAGAGCTGAGCACTGAGCTCCTGTCAAACACCATGGCTTGGGGTGGAGAAATGCCTCCATGTGAGTGTGTCTGGAGGAGCACATGCAGAGTCTGTCAGCACAGCCCTGGAGCACACACAGGGCTACCAGGATTTGTGTACATGGATATGAGCCTGTGCTTGGCATTAGAAGAGTCTGGATCGAAGGGTGATGCTGCCCATGAGTGACTGTGGGTGCAAGGAAAAGGGCCAAGGACCTGTGACTGTGGGCCTGATCTCAGCCAGGGCTCAAAGGAAGGCTGAACACACCAGTAAGCTTAATAAAGTAGAGAGAAAATAATGGAGAAACCCAGGAAGAAAGGGCAATAGCCCCCAAAGCCAGAGAGGTTCTCTTTTATCAGCTGCCAGCAAAGTGTCCCAGGAGAATCTGCAGGTACATCCAACACCCCTCAGCTCCCAGGGGCAATCCCTATAGGATGCTGAGCTGCAGATAAAGCATATTTTCATATTAAAAGAATGGGGAGTGGGGACAAAATTATCTGTAGAGAAACTTCCCTCACCCTTTTTGAAGTTGTGCTCTTTTTTCCTAGTGTCTTCCTGTCAGAGAACTGAGACCTTTTCTCCTTATCTTTCCTAACACAAACATCCTGTTTGACAGAACAGCATGGAGAGGGATATTTCCTATCTGTCCATAAAACTCACAGAGCCATATCACAAGCTATTTCTATGTGTTGTGTGTTTATAAACCTCAGCCCTGCCCTGACCAAGCAAAATAGCTTCTAGTTACCACTGATTCAGGCCTGAATTCAAATTGCCAGCCTATTATTCCTTACTCAGGCAACACTAGTACTCAAAAATTATGTTAAACATTTCCCAGATGCAGAAACAATCGCTTCCCCAAAGAGCAAGAGGTGAAGGCACGCAGCCAGCCAGCCCCCTCTTTTATTGGATAACATTTCTCATATATTTTGTGAGAGCCAGATGGCACCATCTGAACAGCAGTGAGCCCGGGAGCCTCCAGCCACATCAGGAAAAGGGAAGCGTGTCCCAGCCCTGCTGTGGGCAGCTGCCCCTGCTCGGGCACAGGGCACAGGACACGAAAGCTCTTCTGCGTAAATTCACACGTGGGAACCTAAATCACCACTGCTGACAGGCAAAACCCCGCAGTTTTGTGGGCAGGAAGAGTTTCCCCAGTCCTGAGGCTCTCTGGAAAAGGAAGGTCCGTCTGCAGATTGCCAGAGAAAAAGAAACAGATGGTGTTCTGAAGTTCTAAACCCCCCGCTGCGTGTGAGGCCTTTTCCCTGCAATTAAGGGAAGCTAATGGTTTTATGGAAGCTGTTTGTTCAAAAGG